AGAAGATTTAAAATTAACAAAGGTTAGTTAGTTAATATAAAAGAAAAAAATTAGAAATAAAAAAAAAAATAATAATAATTTTTTTTTCTTATATATAGAAGGTTGATTTTTCAAGCGAATCAATAGTCGCGATTATGATGTTTCATGACAGCCGTGATTGTATGTTTGTAATCATTTCCTCGGGTTAACATTTTACCATTGTAGTCTTAATGAATTGTTCTTTATTTAGGGGGACGAGATTTACAAATCACTTTAGATGTATTAAGAAGTAGAGATGGATATGTCGGGACGTTGAGTAAAGGTAATGAAATAAATTCACGTGCCGTTCCAATATACTTCTCAAATCCCGATATTGTAAGTAAATACGAATGCTATATATATATATATTATAATTTGGCTGACGATTACTAATTTTTGGAAAATTTTTTTTTAAAAATATTTGTAGATATGGGCAAATGATTATCCAATTCCTAGATATGCTCAAGGATCATTTAGGAAATGTTTGGAACTTTTGTTTCAGGTAAAATAATTTGCTTAAAAATGGAGGTTTTTTCACTTATGGGTACTTTTAATTGATATTCAATAATTATTTAGGACACTACAGGTCATAAGCTTAAATATAAATTATTTGGAAAACCGGAACCCATAACATATTTGTATACAGCAAAGAAGTTGGAAGATTTCGCTGTGGAGTATACAGGAGAGAGAATAGCGAACAGAAAAATTTATGGTGAGCTTTACATTTGAAATAAAGCCCACGTTATCAGATCAGCATTTATTAATGTAATTATTTTATAGCTGTCGGAGATAACCCTGCCGCAGGCATGTTTTGAAATTGAATAGTTTTTTTTTGCGTTATTTTAATTGATTTTATTTTATGATGCTCATAATAATTTTTTGAATAAATTCTAGATATTGCGGGAGCAAATAGAGCAGGATGGACATCAATATTGGTCCGAACCGGAGTATTTTCAGGAGAGGATAACGATCTATTAAATCCCGCTAAGTATGTTGCTGATAATATATTACACGCAGTTGAATGGATGTTTCATCGAGAAGAAGGTTTTTTGTGGACAAAAAGAAAATGAACATTTTAAACCACGTGTATTGTAGATGTAACGAACTAGTTAATTAATTATTTAAATTAAGTGCACTTGTACATGTTAAATTGGATTAATCCAATAGTTTAATTATCACGTCTGTAATGATATTAATGTAATAAATGTAATTCTTGGTATTTCTCTTTGACTTCAACTATCGCTACTTTTCACCAAAATTATCAAAAAGATATCACTTGCAAGTTTATAAGGTTTACAAATGATAGATACTTCTATACAAAGTTATTTTAATAAATTTACATGATATTTTGAGAGAATTTTTAATTGGTGCAGAAGTTTTTTTCATTAAAAGTTGCCACGAAATATTATATTTACCATATATTGCCGATACTTTTAAACTTGAATTTCATTTTTGTCAATTATAATTCGATTGTACTATTCGTCGAAACTTACTTGATAAATTATATATAAGTATATATGTTTTACAATCATACCAAATCGTGCTGTAAACTACCAATAATTGGAACAATCACATCGATATTGAAAGCGAGAATAATTTTTGCGATTCGTAATTTCATATTTATCTATCAGGTGTGATTGATTATATTCACTCCTAAAAATAACTTCATAATTTTTCAATCTTAAGTAATAAAATTTTATTAAATACACCGAGTTGATCTTGGAAAGCTAAACATATATGAAAGTTATCATGCGGATTATTATGGATATTTTTTTTTTTTGTTAGGCTTTCTAAAAAATTTGGAAATTATGTTGAGTCAACGCGTCTTTATGCTTTTTTTCGCTCAAAATTTACCTTCAAATGAGATTAATAAATCTGCATCCTGGCTTAACTAAAATCTAGACTTAAAGATTATTATAATTATTTTATGATAATGAGGTTGAGGAGTTTCTTTCATATTGGCTTAAGTTTTTTTTTTATAAATAATTCAATTTCTTGTACTGTACGATCTTTTAAACAGCAATGTAACAAAACATAGATTTTAAAGCATTTGAGCGGTATTACTATAAAAGATTTGTACGTCCGAAGATGAATATTTGGAATTGTTTCTACCTCACAAGATCATATTTGGCGGAATGATATTTTGTTTGAGATAGAATAACGGCCATTCGATCGTGGATTGAAAATTTTTAATGTTAAATCATTTAACTAATACGTGCAAGAAATTTTGAAGATGCAAAAAAAAAAGTAATAATGTTCAACATTTCTACTTGGACAGTTCTAAAAACTGGTACAAATCAAATCTATATTATTACCTGAATCTATACAAACAAAGTGATCTAGTCTATTTGAAATTGTAAATTTAGTGTTATAGATTTCGCGCAATTTATTTGAATGGAATTGGATAACTATTTGAGAAAGACGCATCCAAAAGTGTCATTCCAATATGACAATTTGCATTTTGTAGAAAATTTAAAAAAGAAATTCCATTTAAAAAAGTTGTCAATGAAAGAATTAAGACTCCTTACCTTAAATATTATAACCCTAACTGCTTATAAAAAAATCATTTTATTTTAATAAGATACAATCGTATATATTCAGGATTGCGAAATACAGTAGTATATGAGGATTTTTTAATTATTTAGAATAAAGTTGTTAGAAATTCTTATATATTGAATAAAGATGATTCTTATATCTTGGCATAATGATTTCCCTAATAAATTTTATTACTTTAAATGAAACTAGACTAATATCTATATTATCGTACGGCTCACAAGATCATGCTTTATAAAAAGCTTATCGAATCCTAAACTTTTTATCAATTCATTTTCCTTAATTTTTAACATTTTCTCAAACAAATATGCCATTCGAAATAATAGCATTTATAAAACATAAAGTCTTTTAATACTATTATTATTATACTATGTAAAATAAAATAATGTTAATCCCAATTTCTTATAACGCAAAAGTTTTATTTAAATATTAAAATATTAAAGTAAAGCTATCACTTTTTTTTCAATTGAGTTAATTGCAATATATCAATCAATGTAATTAATGTTTTTAGTGTATTTTTTTTTAAGGAATATATAAAAAAATTGTTTTTTTTATTATTGTACTATAATTAACTATAAAATTCAATATTTGTACGATGTTTAGCCAAACAAGCCGTGCGAATAAATATTGATTTCATGTGATATAAATATTATGCATCAGCTGATATATAGGGGCTACATCTTTGTTAAACCTACAATCAATCTTGTCCTACTTTTTATTTCCCGAGTTTTGATATAATGGATAAATAATTGGTCATTGAATTTAACTTTCATTTTACTGCTCAATCAATTGAATTCATATGCACCAGTCGATTATCTTATTGCAACAAGTTATTATGTGCATTTGAACTAATTTTCCATTCGAATTAATGAATTTTTCGAAGTCAATCCATAAAGACATTTATAACATAGTTTACTCGTTGCTCATATTGTAAATGTTTAATAATTATGCTTTATTAATATAAACGTAAATTTAAATTAAGACATAAAATAAATTTTTTTTTTATTATTTAATTAAAAAATTTTAGAGAAAAGTATTAAAAATTGGAATAATTTTACTGTCCTTAGTATTTATAAATTAATTTCTTCCAACTAAAAAAAAAAAAGTACCAATAAAAATCAAACTTGTTTTTTGATTAATCGGCATGATTTTAAATATTTTCGTAAAATGTTGATCAAACATCCTATTTTCACTAATTTTGTCTTGCTTTCTAAGAATCTCTTTAAAATTCGGATAACCAAAAATGGAATAGTTACATTCTTTATAAACATATGTAATTTATTCGTTTTAATAAATTTGTTGCATTAAGAGATCTTTTTTTTAAGTTTCTTATTCTGATAAATTTTTATCCAATCAGATGTCATTCGAGTTGAATGAAAAATTTTATTTTAGAAGTTAAAACTTATTGAAAATTTTATTATTTTTTTTTTAAAAAAAAAAATTATTTAAAAACCACTTGACGCTCAAATTCATAAACCTTAAGTTATGCTTGCGATTTTTACTTAATTGTTGAGTCTTTTAGGTTCATCATTATAACTGACAGCTTGTAAATGATCTTTAATATTGTTAGAATTGTAAAATCGACCTTAAAATTACTAAAGTTAGATTTTGTTTTAAATAACAGACTGCATACTTCAAAATCAACTTAAAAAGATCACTGAAGAGGTGTTCAATCCATCGAAAAATTAAAGTTTAATTTGCATTCATTATAGCATTTTTCCATAAGGATTTTTCATTTTAGAAATTTAACTCTTGCGATTCAAACATTCTTGAATATAAACGAAAAGATTTTGCTAATTTATTTTTTTAAATATTTTTAACATTAAACGAGAAATTTTTTATCGAATAAGAAATATTCGGAATTTTGCCATTAAACAATGAAATTAATAAAAAGATTAAAAATTTTGCCATTAAACGATGAAATTAATAAAAAGATTAAATTTTTGCCAGTAAACGATGAAATTAATAAAAAGATTAAAAATTTTGCCAGTAAACAATGAAATTAATAAAAAGATTAAAATTTTGCCAGTAAACGATGAAATTAATAAAAAAGATTAAAATTTTGCCAGTAAACGATGAAATTAATAAAAAAATTAAAATTTTGCAAGTAAAACGATGAAATTAATAAAAAGATTTAAAATTTTTGCCAGTAAACGATGAAATTAATAAAAAAAGATTAAAATTATTGCCAGTAAACGATGAAATTAATAAAAAGATTTAAACTAAAATCCAAAAAAAATCGATTTGTAAAGAACATAATTATTAAAGAAAACTTATTTCATAAAAAGAAATCGTCAATTCAGCAATTCAGCTTATTAAAAGAGGGACATAAATAAATAAATAAATAGAACTTATATAATTTTTAAAAAGAAATGAAATCTACAGTACATGAAAGTTTTTCAAAGAAAACGAAATGAAAAAAGAAATTTTTATCGATGACTTTTGATATTTTTATTCACTACATCAGAAAGATTTTTATAATAAAGCTTTTCTTGCGTAGTAGCAACTCTCATCAACATGTCGGTGGCCTTGCTGACAGCATGTTCATTATTAGTCGTTTGGATTTGTGATACAAAGTATCTCAATGTATTTCTCATATTTGTGGTTTTAACTCTAGGATTTTGCCTGTTCTTGTATATTAAGTTTTCGTACATTGCTTGCGGATCCGCAATAGGGAAGACCAAGTTCCCATTTATAATAAAGGCTTGTAAAAGCTTCGCAACCTCTCGTTTGAATTCACAAGTGGTATTATTGATATTATTAACCACAAATTCTATGACATCCATATTGTAGGAATTTGGAGTTTAAAAATTGTAAAGAATTGAAAGAAAAGAAAGAAAAGGGATATATGGGAGCGTTTCCAGTAAAATCACATTACGGATCATATGATTTACTATGCCTCATAACTTGATTTTACTGGAAACGTTCCCATATATATATATATTATATATATATATCCCGCATTTTATTTTCTAATATGACCAATCATTCAATCATCGTTAATTACCGAAATTTTAATTACTATGATTTTATGTATTAATAATAATCATAATATAAACAAAAACATAATTCTGAACCAATTTATTTTTTTTTGATTTTAAAAAAACTGGTTTGATGTAACACAAAAAATTACATTGTGAATGATTTGCTAGAAAATTAGAAAATTTGGTGAACAAATAAAAATGCAAAAAAATTTACTTTCATGTCATGTGTGAATGATTTAAGAAAATTAGGGAACAAATAAGAATGTGAATAATATAATAATAATAAAAAAAAAATTCCTCGTGTTTGCTACACAAAACATTTGTTTCAACATCTGACATTTGGGTTGCACAAGCCTTATTCATCGACAATTTCAATGGAAATAAAAAAAACAAATTTATATGAAACGAAAGCGATCTTACTTTTTTAAACAATACAAATTTCCTTGTAAAAACATGCAAAGACTATACTTAAATGAATATCTTGTCCTTGGATCATTGCTATTTTGTTAAAAAAAAAAAAAAACCTTACTTTCTATTAATGATCAAAATATCTTAAGAGTCCAATATTATATGACAATTGAGAATAAAAGGTTCCATTTTTATATCTCTTTGACATTATTTATAATAACAGATCAAATTATTTTGAGGAAATTTTGAAGAAAAAAGTTATTTCATAGCCGAACAGTTTAAGAATTACAACAATTGCTTCAGATGATGGAAAGTAATGTAAAAAGCATACAGGTTGAGATCACGTGAATTACAAAAAAATTACTAATCATTTAATTTTGAATTTATCTTAGAAACTAGTGAAAGATTTAATTACCGGACTTAACTATCCAAATTCTTTTTAAAAACGCGATGAAATGTAAAATCACATGATAATCGACTAGATAGTGCAGATAATGCAATCATTTGGGCGTGCATTTCCATTTCTAAATGCAGACTTTTTTCGTAGAGAATGACAGCTTAATTTGTAGTAAAATAAAAATCATAATACTAATGAAACACAAGAAGATATTCGAACCGGCTCCATTCAAAGCATTTCTCACTAAATAACGATAATTAATTCATCTATATGCTTTTTTAGATTTAGTAATCTATTTAAGAAATGATGTAATAATTTAAATAATCTCTTGGATAAATATAGACATGAATATTATAATAAATTAATAAATAGGTTACTTTTAGATAAATAAAAAAAGATAAAAAATTAAATTCGTAGATTTTTTTGCTCAAATGCATTCGAAAGATATAATGCGGCTAGAATTTATGTATTAGAAGAATATGCAAATTTTATAAACCTGTAAACTCTTTGCACAAGCATGCATAGATTTAAATAATCAAAAGTCATATATATACATTAGGAATTCAAAGTCGGTTTTTTCTTAACGAGTTGTCGCAGGACATAATATTACGCGTCTTGTTGTTTTAAAAAATTGTAGCGTAATAAAATCACTACAAATATATCTTTATTTTGTATTTTGTATCATAATAAAAGTATCTTTAATGTACAAAATAAGATGGTGCATCACGGTTGATCTACATCACATCGCATTTATAAGCCTTTCATTTCCGATTTTTTTTTTTTTTTTTTTAAAAAAATATCATGGCAATTCAATTTTTTTCAGAGTTATCCCAAAATTTCATTAATATTTTGGAAGATGATGAATACTATGATGTTACAATTGAAGTTGGACAAGATCCTGAAGTAAAGATATTTCGAGCTCATATGGTTATTTTAAATTATCGTTCAAACTACTTTCGTAAAAATTTATCTAGAGATAATAAAGAATCCGATGGTATTTTTACTCATGTAAAACTGTCAGAAATCACCCCAAATACTTTTCAAATAATATTAAAGTATGCCGTCATTTTTTTTTTCCATTTTATTTTTTCATTTCATTTTTTTTTTTTAAAAAAAAAGAATTACTAACGTGATACAAATTATCACTATTTTTAAGATATATTTATGGTGGCATTCTTACCTTGGATGAAATGGATACGTTTGATGAGATTAATGTTTTGGTTGCGGCCGAAATGCTTAACTTACAAGGAATTGTAAATTATTTACAAACACATATTATTGAAAATCCATCTAAATGGATGGACGATCATTTTGCCCTTTTGTATAAGACAGCTTTTCAATATAGTGGTCTCATCAAACTTCAAAAATATTGTACAGAGATAATGTCAAAATGTCCGGAAAAGATATTTAAAACTCACCATTTCATTTCCATTTCGGAAGAATCCTTGATTTCTTTAATTAAACTAGACAATTTAAAAATGGAAGAAATCGATGTTTGGGAATGTTTATTAAAATGGGGTCTCGAAAGAAATTCCACATTGTTGTCAGATCCTGAAAGTTGGTCAGATGATGATTTCAACGAGATGGAAAATACCTTACAAGAATGTTTGCCATTTATTAGATTTTTTCAATTATCATCAAAAGAATTCATGGAAAAAGTGATACCTTATCAAAAACTTTTAAAACCCAAACTTTATGAAGATTTGATGAAATATCACTTGGATGATGAAATTGATAGCAATACTGTTGAAAATATCTTACCAACAAGAAACTTGCATATCGATTCAAGATTAATTACAAGTAAAGTTGCGGCATATATTGCAAGTTGGATAGATAGGAAAGAAACTAAACATCCGATATACGGTTATACGCCTTATAATACTTTGGATAATCCTTATGAATTCAAGTTATTATTACGTGGAAGCGAGGATGGATTAGGTTGGGAAACGTTTCATGATCTCTGCGATTACAAATCAAATACAGTAGTAATTGCTAAAGTGAAAGGAACTAATGAAATACTTGGAGGATATAACCCTCTCATATGGGAATCTAGGACGAACAAATCATATTCACATACTAGTGACAGTTTTATATTCTCATTTACGTTTATGAACCTTAAAGATGTTGTTTTAAGTAGAATAAATAAACCGGATTCCGCGGTTTTATTATATGAAAAATATGGGCCAAGCTTTGGCGATGATCTTACAATTCTGTTTAGAGGCACTGTGTGTTATAGTAAGAAAGATGACTATGAGAAATCAATACGGTCCGAAACTGATTGTTTCGAATTCGAATTGGAAGATTATGAAGTATATGAAGTATTACAGATTGACTACAATGAAGCAGATGAATACGATACATATTGATAAAGCTATATCGTTTAAATTCGTAACCATGATAATATTTGAATGCTACCATTAATAAATAAATTAAGTCTTTCTGTCTTTCCGCATCAACTTTATGGGACATTTAAATCAAATGCTGTGTCGTCACTACATTTGAAATTAATTACCTTTTCAAAATTTTAACATAACTTATTGACAAAAAAAAAAAATTTAAAATAAAATAATTAATAAATAAAAAATAAATAAACTAATAGAATTTCCAAAATTCGTGAATGCATTTAATGTAATTAAGTTATCCAAACAAAAAAATAATATCGGTGAATTTGAATTAAGAAATCTTCCTTTATTTGTTTGGATACATTCTTAAGAAAAAGGTGCCAAATTGTATTTCCAAGGCAAGTCGTAAATAATTAGACAAATAATTAATGGACGCGAGATTAATAATTTGTTCATTTGTAACGGAACAATTAATCTGTCTTTTAAAGATATATGGGTTTCATCAATATAAATTATATAATACATTATTAAGTGTAATGGTGGGTTTCAATTGGATCCAAATTTGGCCTGCAAAACTTACATTAAACCTGTGTTCTGATTCGAAAACCTTGAAAAATGCTTCAACAATGATTATCAAATAATAGTGTAGTTTACATTCTACTACAAAACGCAGGAGTTACTCTAATTATACAAAATACCAAAGAAAAGCATCTTATTTTTCAACGAAACGAAATTTTTCGTTTCAACAAGTAATTCAGTTTCTTTCAGAAGCGACGAGCACACGTGTGA